AAAAAAATACGTTTTTTATAAAAAAATTCGTTTTTATATTTTTAACTTTAATATAGTATAACTTTTTGAAAAATGTATGGGATATTAAAATTTTTTTAAGATAAGTACTATTTATACTCTTCTTTTATGCGACATACTTTTTTTTTAAATCGGACCATTTCCCTTTATATTTTATATATTATATATATATATTTATATATTACACTTATAAAACAAAAAACTTAATCAGAATATAATTAAGGAAATAGTAGAATATGTAGCTTTTGGAATAATCCATCAATTTTTTTAAAATTAAACACTATCTACAGATTTGCATCGAAGCGTTTTTTATGATAGTGATTTTAATCACTGTCAGATATCATCTATACTAAACCCAACTGTGCTACATCCTCATTGTGCTGGGTTTTTTTTTTATATAGAACATTGAAATGTTATATTTTAGACTAAAACTATAAGATTAAATAACATTAAAAATAATCTAGCTGCAATAAGAGAAATTCATTAAAAAATTTGACTTTATTTTTTATTATAAATAAACATTTTTATCCCTGAAGGGATAAAAAAAAATTTATTTAACTTCATATTATTCTAAATTTTTATAAACTTAATAATTTTTTTTTTACAAAAATTTTAAATTCTCAATAGTTTCTGAAAAAATAAGTATCTTACCAGATTTTGATCACCCTGTATACAGGGGGTGTGCAAACCTTTTAAAATGCGTATAGAAAGTAAAAATTTTTCAACTTAACTTTTGAAAATGTTCCGGAAAGACTGATTCTTTTATATATATCTTAAATTAAAGCTTATGTAACATACTTTAATTTGAAAAAAAAAATTTGACCTCTGGATTTGTCTTCATGGTAAAAATAACTATCGTATTCAAAAATATGCTATTTTTGTGCGTAAAATTCTGGGTTTAGTATTTTATTTTATTTTAAAATACCTGACAAGGGGAGTACAGATTTTCATAAATATTATATAAATAAATAATTGATATAGCATAGAAAGTTAAACTTCTTAAATTTTTATAATATTTAGTATTCATATTTTAAATACGTGGAAGAATATGAAGTATAATAACTAAGTTTAATGATATTTTAGGATTCAAAGATTGGAAATCTACAAAAAGTATTTACTTTTACACTAAATTGGTCACGGTTCGCTAGTCACCAACGTGAAATATGTAAATAATTAACTAATTGATATTTATGATTATTTTTTTTCTACAAATAAATGGTATTGATGTGTATTTGATTAAATATATGTTAAAAGTATAAAGTTTTTAAAATTTTGAGTAATCATTTTTTGTTAATGAAAAAAAATTGTTAACAATGTACAGAAACTATTTTGTCTCACTTAATATATTTACTATATATAGTAAGTCAATATGTCAATGCAACATGTGTTACATCGAAATATCCGACTAGACTTTATAGTGAAATAGCATCATATTTAACTTCTTCAGACGTTTTCTTATTTTTACGTCCTAGTTTTTATATTAAAATTATATAAGACATAATTATGTGTTATATATTTTAAGAATATTGTTTTTTACATTAAATATTATTGTTCATGAAACATTAACAATAATACATTATTTTATAAACATGTTGACATGGCCCACATCACTTCTCGATACACGGAGACCTGCAACCCGCGCCACATTTGTCAACGGTAGTCATACTACAAGTATATAGTAGTTTGACTAAACAATACCGCTGCCATACGCCAAGGCACAAAGTACAACAAGTGTCGGACAATGACGACCGCCGCAAGTACACTAATATATATAATAATAAGAAGTACTCTGCTTGACGTCGTCGAAATAACGTTGTTTTAATCTTAATTTAGAACCGTCAAAATGTGATTTTATAAAAAAAAAAAAACGGTATCACAGTGGGGACGAGGCATAGATGGGACAAGTATAGATGATATCTGCCAGTGATTAAAATCACTATCATAAGAAACGCTTCGATGCAAATCTGTAGATAGTGTTTCATTTAGAGAAATTGGTGGATTATTCCAAAAGCAACATCAACTCTTATTTCTTTAATTATATCCTGATTAGTAGTTCTTTGATTTTATAGAGAAAATAAATGATAGTCACGAAAAAATATCTTCTCAGCTTTGCATCGAAGCTAAAACATAAAATATAGTAAAATAATTTTAATACGAATAAGAAATTTCTTCTCGCAAATGGCGATTACAGTGATGGGATCCTTGATCTTTATTGAAGTTATTGAATCTAAATGAGATAAAAATCAAAGCAGTTGAAAATTTATTCTAACTTAAAAAGAATTAAGAAAAAATGCAAAAAAATAATTATTATACACGGGTTAGAACCTTGTACCCCAATGAAACAAAAGTTTGACCGACTCGGCAACCGTACGTCGCTAACATCGATTGAAAAAAGTGGCTATTTAAACTAGTTCAAATATTAAAATTATTTTTGTCGTCTTCGAAAAGCAAATAAATTTAAGAAGTTTAACTTTCTATGCTATATCAATTATTTATTTATATAATATTTATGGAAATCTATACTCCCCTTGTCAGGTATTTTAAAATAAAATAAAATACAAAACCCAGAATTTTACACACAAAAATAGCATATTTTTGAATACGGTAGTTATTTTTACCATGAAGACAAATCCAGAGGTCAAATTTTTTTTTTTCAAAATAAAGTAAATTACATTATCTTTAATTTAAGGTATATATAAAAGTGTCAGTCTTTCCGGAACATTTTCAAAAGTTAAGTTGAAAAAGTTAATTTTTTTAAAAAAGTTACCGCTTTGAAACCCCTCCTGTGGGCTTGTAAAGGGTCAAATGTTCACCAAAATATATAAAATGATAGGTGAATACCTAATGTATCTATAAAAAAAAATTATATTAATTCGGTCATTTTTAAAAGAGTTATGGCAATTTTAAGTAAAAAAAATTGNTTATATTAATTCGGTCATTTTTAAAAGAGTTATGGCAATTTTAAGTAAAAAAAATTGAAAAAATATTGAAAATTAGCGATTTTTAAATTTGTAATTTTTAGGGGGATTTCCCCCGTTTAAGGGAACGAGGGATTTTTTTTCAAATTTTGAGGGTAATGTCTTCGACTAGATACGATTTGTGATCTTTTGACATATTGTTCATCAAAATCGGCCCAGCGAGATCTGAGATTCAGCGTATACAAACACAAAAAAAACACATCATAGTAAAATTAATACCTTCTCAGCTTCGCATCGAAGCTAAAAATGGATTTATTTTGTTTTTGCACAGAACCCTTCAATGAATACCCATTCAGCTTTGCATCGAACCTAAAAAAATAAAATCGAAAATTTTATTTATAACTATATCACTAATACAATAGGTATAGTTGGTAAAAAGCGCCTTTCTCAAAGACCTAGTTAACCAGTTGTCACAAATATCGTCTAGTAGTACAACATATCGCGTGACAGCTGTTCTNTAGTTGGTAAAAAGCGCCTTTCTCAAAGACCTAGTTAACCAGTTGTCACAAATATCGTCTAGTAGTACAACATATCGCGTGACAGCTGTTCTCTAGCAGCTTTGCTTTACCTTTTCCCTCGTCCAATCAGCTAGGCAAACGTGCTGGGTCAGATTAAATGCGTTAATTGCTTACCTTGTACAGTTTATAGTCGTAATCAGTGATCGGATGTTTTTAAGCGTCAACATTTTGTATATCATTTTATTTTTCTAGTACTTAAATTTTTCAAACCAACTTAATTAGTAATAAAGTCTCAGTCATGTAAATGATGAAACAATGAGTTTTAGCAATAATTTACAAGAAATTAAAAAAAAAAGAAACTTTCAAAGCTAATTTTAAGTTTGATAAAATACCAATGTTGAAATTTTTACAATAGAAAATCAAAATATGTAACAATATTGTGTGAAATTTGTATGATTTGATTTTTTAGTCTCCCCCATTGGTCAATTATTACTATAACAGTATATGACTTTAGCACTAGTAAGAGTAATATAAGCCAAAAAAAGTCTTAAGCCCACAATCAAAAATCCTGGATACGCCACTGATAATATACAACTACTTAAAAAGATAATACAATATAATAAAATACTCTACAATATGATACAATTTATACTAATTTAGTAAAATAGGAATTGATGGAATATAAAATGAGAAATTAACAATGGGCTTGTTACATTATGTTAAGGTAGTGTATAAAAAATAACTGATTGTATAACTTTCAAATAGTTAGTTTAACTTTATTGACTAACTATTTAACTTAACATGTAACTTTTTAATCGTTAGTGCCCGCCTTGTAAATTAATATCAAAACTATGTATCTACGTTACCCAAAAATCAGACCCATTCTAAAAATTTGCAAGATCGAGAGTATTAAAAATTGATATATTATTTATCGGTTTTTTTTAAGTGCGAAGCCTTAATTTAACAAAAAAAAAAAAACGGGATCAAGACTTTTGCCCTGCAGTCCCCATTTAAGGATAGCCCTGTTAAATTAATAACCTTCTAACCAACTCGAAAAATTGAATCCCCACTGAACTTGTTTATAACTGTTTAGTAATTTTTACAAAAATAAAACTAAATAACTTGGTGTATAATTAATGTTTTTAAAATACGAAATAGAAATCTTCGAAGATTATAAACGACCGTTAAAAATGATTAGATGAGTCTTATCAAACGACCTACTATGATAGTATTTATCCATATAAAATGTACAGATGTTATCACATATAAATTAATTTAACAACTCAAAATAATAATAGAATTTATTTATTAGTGACTAGATTGTAAATTTTGTAATAAATAATTTTTCCCTTCAATATAAATGTATTAATTATTGTAATAAAATGAAAAGTTTAAATCATTTTATTTCCTGTTTTATTATTGTAAATGTAGAAGAATTTTTTTTTTGTTTTAATAATTGACTATAATTTAATAAGGTATCATAAAAATATTGAATAATTGATTGTTATAATGTTAGATCTAAATTAACATATACTTATTTTTTCAGATGGTCAATCAATATATTATATATTTAAGTACTACATAATATTTTTAAATATGGAAGACTGGATAGCAGCTATGAAAGTTACTGATAGTAGAGATATCTTAAATCAGGTAATAGCATTTTTGTAAAAGTTATTATTTACTATTAAACGTATTGTATATAAATAATTTCATAACAAAAATAAATAAAATCTTGTTATTAATAATAAAATTCTTGTAATTTCAAGCTCATTAAAATCATAATAGAAATCTTTAATTAGAACCCAAGCATTCTTAAAAATCAAAGGGGTAAAGAATATTTTACTTAAATTACTTTTTTTAAGCCAAGTTTTCCTTTGAAAATAATGAGAATAGTATTATCTACTTAGTTATATTTGTTTTATAGTAAGTATTAGAAGGTTTAAATATTCATATTTATGTAATACAAGTTTAGTTTTGTATTTATTTAATTTTTGTGTATAATAAAAAATATGTGAAAACTTTAACACTTTTTTCCCTAACAATATTAAGTTATTGCAAGTTACTATATTTCATTTATTTGGTATAAATACTAGTTCTCAGTAGCTTTTAAATTTTGTTGTATTGTATACTTTTTTTTATTAAAATTATAATTGAATACTGAGGTACAATTCACTAATTGAAATTATTTAGCAAAGTTTTTCAAAAATCTCATAAATTTATTGAATATTAAAAATTAGGACAATATAAATATCATATACAATGAATTTTAAAAATTAATAAATTGAAAATTATATATTATATCAAATTTCAGCCTCTTGGTACAGATTTAAATGATTTTCTCTCAGGAAATCATTCATGGCACACTACATCACATGCTCGTCCAACTTATTGTAATATTTGTAGAGATCAGTTGTCTGGTAAGTAATTAAAAAAAATATATTCATTACAAGTCCAAAATGAGAAATTATATTATTTAGGAGTGACATCCCATGGTTTTAGTTGTGAAATCTGTAAGTGTAAAGTTCATAAGCGTTGTGTTAATAAAGCAATTAGCAACTGCAAATGGACAACTTTAGCTTCTATAGGAAAAGATATTATTGAAGATAAACATGGGGTAATTATTTGAGTATTTATTATTTTGTTTTTATTTCTTCATAAATTTACATGTTTACATGGCTGAAAAATGTCAAACTCAATAACTATTATGTTTTCTTTTACTTCTCATTTGATCAGCTTATTTCTTTGTTATATGGTCAATCAGTTAAGGACATTTAATCATTAGTCTATTAATTATAATTATAATTATAATTCATTATTTATACATAATTTGTATTTATTCTTAGAATATTTTGATGCCCCATCAATGGATGGAAGGAAATCTACCAGTATCTTCAAAATGTTCCGTCTGTGATAAAACTTGTGGATCTGTTTTAAGGTTTGTAATTATCTACTTTTTTTTTTGGGCTATAAAAATGTTAAAATAATAAAAATTTAAATTTTTTAATTTAGACTTCAAGATTGGCGATGTTTGTGGTGCAGAGCAACAGTTCATACAGCTTGTCGTCCAAAACACACTGTAAAATGTCCATTAGGAACCAACAGGTTGAGTGTTGTTCCACCCACAGTAATACATTCTGTTGGTAAGAATAGAAACAATTTTGTGCACAAGGAATCCAAAAGATTGAATTATTATTTGGCTGTAGGAAATGATGACACTTTAGAGGCGATTCAACCTCAGGGATGTTCGCCACTTTTGGTGTTTGTCAATTCCAAATCTGGAGACAATCAGGGTGTCAAATTTCTTAGACGTTTCAAGCAATTATTAAACCCAGCCCAAGTTTTTGATCTCATTGGTAATGGGCCAGGTCCTGGGTAATAATTTTTTATTAGTTAAATTTATGTTATTGATTGAAAATATTTATCTAAAATAATTCATGTTTCAGTTTAAGGTTATTTAGACATTTTAACCCATTCAGAGTTCTAGTATGCAGTGGTGATGGTTCAGTTGGTTGGGTACTTTCCGAAATTGATAGACTCAACATGCAAGTATGTATATTAATTAATATTTTGTAATTATATTTGGTGGGTATACATTTAATGTTTTTTGTATAGGTACAATGTCAAGTTGGTGTATTACCTTTAGGTACTGGTAATGACTTAGCCCGAGTATTAGGCTGGGGTGCATCATGCGATGCTGATACTCACATAACACAGATTCTAGAAAAATATGAACGAGCGAGTACTAAAATGTTAGACAGGTAAGATGATTTTTGTTATCTTTAATAAACATATTGTTGCAATATAATCAACAGGAGAAAAAAATACTGATTTCTGTGCCTTTTATCCTTAATATTATTGTATTCCCAATTCTTTGTTTAGCACTCTTTCTGTTAATTCTATCATAAACCTGTAAACCAGTCTAAGTCCTATTAATAATGAATAGAGCAGTGTTACTAACTCATTTTGTCAAAATTTGAGATAAGTTGAGTAAGCTATAGTATCTTATCCTAAATTCTATTTTTTAGATGGAGTATAATGGTTTATGAACGTAGTATTGATATAGGTAGTGACACAAAACTCACTATTAATTCTGGTGTACAAGACAGCACTAAAATAGAAACATCAATAACCAACTATTACAATACTATTATGAAAAGTTTAAGTATTATACTACAATCTAATCAGTATAGTACAATAATTGATACAGCAAAGTTAGTTTTTAAAACATTAAGAATAATTTCTAATATAGTTAATTTGTATAATAATATTCCAGAAACTTATGTGATACTGTTAAGGAATTTATTATTTGTATAACTGAGTATAATATGGGAACCAACAATTGTGAACTAAATAATATGCAACAGGATTTAAGATACAAATTAGATCGGCTTTTACAACTAATTCAAAAAGAAGAATTTAAAATGTCTTATGATCAAAATGTAATCTTACATTGCATGAAATTTTTATTACTTATAAATAACTAAATATTTTATTATCCATCTAGAAAGAAGAAAATTTTGTTCCAATTCACATTGTAGACAATAATAGTAATATTAATGAAGTAAAAAATAACAAGATAAAATTAAATAAAAATAATTCAAATAACAAATTGGTAAAATAATTTAACTAAATAAATTTACTAATTAAATACCTAGAACAATTTTACTCATTCTTTTATTTTTATAGATGTATAAAGCTAAATTATTTGAACAAACTAATAGTTTTAAAAAATCAGTTACAAAATTAATTGAACATTCAGAAAAAATTCAAAATGTTTTTTTGCAAAACTCTTGTCAATCAACTATTCAAGTAAATTTCAACAGTAACTGTATTATTTTTTCTATTTTATTTTTATTTGTTTACATTTTAGGAGTCCACAAGTATTGATGATAAGACAAATTTTCAGTTTTTAAAAACACAGTCAATAGTAAATCCTATGTCAATATCTCCTATTCCAACTGAAAGAAGAGATTCTGCTTGTTCCTTAGACCTTAATATAGAATCATTACCTGCCCCTATAGAATTTGCTGACAGTCGACAAGAAACAATAACTGAAGACCAAAATGCAGTGTAAGAATATTTTCCACCTCTAATTTACTGGATGATTGTTTTATTATTTACTAGACTTCTCTTAAAATGATAGTATCATTAATACATTATGTAGTTTATTAAATTTTTCAGCTTAACTATTATTAAATAAATAATCCTAATTAAATTACTATAATAAAATTAATTATTATTAAATATTGGTCAATACTTAATGTTCTTTGAGAGTATTGACTTTTTTATTTTATTTTTATAGTAATATATACATTTTAACTAGATTTTGTAAAATAAAAAAAGATTTAATGAATAAAATTATTAGTCATAAATCATTATCAATCAAAATCATTGATTTTTTTTTATTTTTGACTTTTTAAGCCCATTAAAAGTCATAGCGGCCTCTCTCAAAAGAGGGGAGGTTTCTTAGCCATTGATACTCCGAGGTAGATGGTTAGTCCGTCGCCGGAGAGAGGTATGGCGACTCCAATAATAAACTAATCTCTCGCTCAGAAAATTAAACCGCCAGTGACCAAGTTTCGAACCTGAGACAGTGAGCATCAAGCACTGCCGCGTTACCAACCACTGTTTCTCTATCAGTGATTTTCCTAATTAAATTAAAATTCGAAATGTAATCTAGTCAAATAGGTATGTTGCCATTAAAATATATTTTTAAGTCAATACTCTTAAAGGATATAAGGTATGGATCTAAAAAACACTTAACGGTAGGTAAATTATAAACATAAAAGTAAATTAAACAATCTATATATTAAATAAGGCACCTAGAGTTTAAAGGGATGTAAAGAAAATTTTGAAGAAAAAATAATTAAATAAATGCTAAAGGAAAATAACCTCTTTTTTTGAGTTAATAAGGATCAAAGTAGATTTTTTTAAATATAGTGCTTTTTATCATAGATTCCCTTAATTAACTGCTTGGAAATATTATAAGAAAAAATACTTTTTTTAATATTCAAATTCAATTATTTTTGAATTTATTTTTTATTACTTTGGTTTCTTCAGCTCTAGGTACCTCAAATATGATTTGTTAAAATTATAGATATAATTATATTTTATTGTACTATTAGGCTTTCTGAAGAAGATACCAGTACATATCAAATGTCTCAGTATGATGATTTAAATAGTTATTGCCAAATGTATGAATCTGATAAGATAAAAATTGAAAATAATGAACTCATAAAATTGTGTTCATTTAAAATATGTGATGAAGAATCAATGATTCAGATTGGGCACATTGATTCATCTGAAGCTTCAGATGAAGCACCTAATAGCTTCAAAACATATGATAACAAATGCACAGTTAATTATGCACAATATAGTTTTCGACAATCATGCAAAAGTTCTTTAACCTGTCATATACCTAAAACACAATTTAGTACCAATGAATGTATAGAATCTGATTTAGATGCAAATAATTTGATTTCTTCTTCGCCAGAAGATGAAGAGAGTGAAGATTTTCATAAAGAATTAAGAATTACTGATAATGTTCCTAAGAAATGCAGTATTGCTCATTTCATTGAAGGGAATGATATTGCGAGAAGGTCAATCAAATGTCGCCATGTTAATAGAACATACAGTGACATGGAAGCAGACTCTCAATTTACATTTAAAAGTATTAAAGAGGAGTCAACTAAAACAAATAAAAGTTTGGGATTAGAACTATTAGATATTTCCAATATCAAGACTGAAATAAATGTTAGAATTCAAGGTTCTAATAGCAATTTAAGTAAAAATGGTGATGGTGAAAGATTAACTTATGCACAGAACACAAAATCATTAAATGATCCATTATTTGATGATGAAGATGAAGAAATTAAAAAATTAAAAACCTTAAAAAGAAGTATAACTATGAATGGTCCTGCTGTTGTTATTGACCCACCTTCTCCTCAGAATTTCACCTCTAACCAAAAGTGTGACATAGAAGTGTTTCATTTAGATTTTAGAAGAAATAGTTTTGATAGTTGTCGTAGACGTAAGAATAAATTTTTTTAATAACTTAATATTATAAGCATAACTAGGTGGGGTTTGGTAGAAATGAGACCCCCCAATTAAAAAATTATATGAATCTCTAACTACTGAAATTATATAATTTTATCGACTACTACCAGTCCAAGGTCTCTTTTGTGCTTACACTGGTAAATCTGGGAGCTTGAAGGCCCATATGGTAGGCTTTGTGCACCAGGCTCAATGATGTTGGACTTCATTGGGGTTAATCTGCTTTAGCTGGTTAAGAACAAGTTGTGGTCTGTGTTCTCGTGTGTGCATAATCCTTATTGGGTAGTTGGTCGTAATGATCCCGCCCCAAAGCTCATAAAATGTCTCGTAGGGGATGGGTTTCTAATATACTGTTGAATTTACTAAAAAAAATGTAGAAGGTTCTATTTTAAATTTATTTTAGCTTCGATGCGAAGCTGAGAAGGTATTAATTTTACTATGATGTGTTTTTTTTTTTTTTTTTTTTTCTTGCCACTTTTTATCAGCTCTCACTGAACCGATTTCTTNTTTTTTTTTTTTTTTTTTTATATCTTGCCACTTTTTATCAGCTCTCACTGAACCGATTTCTTTCAAAAATATGTCAACATTTTTTGTTATACTAAAACCTTAGACATTTCCCTTTCATTTGATATAATTTATTTGAAAACCTATCACTTAACCTGCTCATTGGGGTGGATTTAAAATAACAACTTTTTTTACAAAAATTAACTTTTTCAACTTAATTTTTGAAAATGTTCCGGAAATACTGCGTCCTCTAAACATATATCAAATTAAAGATTATTTTATGTACTATGAAATAAAAAATAAAAATTTGTCCCGACATCATATCTACTACGTGCAAATTGCTGTCAAAATTTAAAAAAAAATGTAATATATGCGATAAAAATCACCTTCTATAAGGATGTTTTTTGTACTTAAAACTGCCATAACTTTTTCCAATATTAACAAATCAACAAAATATTTTTTTATATTGAAACCTTAGGTAATTTCCTTTCGTTTGATATCATTTTTTTTGAAAATCTAACACTTATTCTGGTTACAAGGTGGATTTAAAATAGTAAATTTTTTACAAAAACTAACTTTTTCAACTTATTTTAGCTTATTTTATGTACTATAAAATGAAAAAAAAAATTTGTCCCGACGACCTATCTTCTATGCGAAAATGGCTACCGTATTCAAAAATATGCTATTTTAATATTAAGGTTAATGTTGCTTTTGTAATTATCCATCAATTTCTTAGAATTATACACTATCTACAGATTTGCATCGAAGCGTTTCTTATGATAGTGATTTTAATCACTGTCAGATTAAATCTATACTGAACCCAACTATGCAACGTCTTCACTATGCCGCAACCCCACTGTGCTGGATTTTTTTTTATTATCAATTTATATGTTAAGAGATATTTTTTTTTTCCATTATTTATTTCTTATTCTTTAAACAGTTTCAGCTGCATCTCCTATTATGTTAAATGCTTCACCTTTACGTTCATCACATAAAATTTCAAGTAGCACAGCATTACATACTAGAAATACTTCACCTACACTATTCTCAACATTTAAAGAATCATCACTAAAAAGTGGGAAAACATTGCCTATTATTAATCCATTAGTCACTCTACCTACTTGGCCAAGTAAGTAATGAGTTTTCAAAAATAGAACATTAATTTTAAGAATTTACTATTTTAATAGATGTAGCAGAATCTAGTTTAATAAGTCAAGTATTGTTAGCAAACGCTGATGCACTTTGTGCGCCAGCTGTACCTTTAATGGATCCAGATGAAACATTGTTGTAATATTTAATTTATATAATAATTAATAATGTTGATTATAAGTTAACACAGATTAGCAAATAATTATATTTACAGGGAAGGATTTTTTGAAAAATGTATTATGAATAATTATTTTGGAATTGGTATTGATGCCAAAATATCTTTGGACTTCCACCACAAAAGAGAAGAACATCCAGAAAAATGTCGATCAAGAACACGAAATTACATGTGGTATGGCGTTTTAGGAAGTAAACAATGGTTACAGGTATACATTTTTAAAATAATTGTTGGGTTGGATACCTTTTATCTTATACTTAAGCTGTAAATGTATATTTACTGTATTAGAAACCCCTTAATATTAGTTATAGAGTATATTGGTCGTCCAGCTACAGTTAGCCAACAAGAGTGTGCTATCCAAAGAATATACAGCGACACTCATGCATAGGCTTCCATTGTCACATGTATAGCTAATTGTTATATTGTGATATCCTTATAAAAATTTACATTTTTATGTGTCTTATATTTATGTAGTCTTTTTTTTTTTTAATATATCATTGCCTAATCACTGTAATGCTCAATCTCAAAAAATCTAATTTGTTTCAATATATTATGATAAAACATACATTTGATTTTTTGAGAATGACTGTAATGTTTCATAAGTAAAAATCATACAAAACCAATTCAATTTTTACCATTTATTTTAGGTTGTAAAGTGGTGTTGAAATTAATAGTAGTAAATTCTAATTCATTACAATCATACAAATATTCACTCATTTATTTACTATACTTCTTTATTCATCTTTTACCTTAAAAACTCATTGGAGTTTTCTCATATGTCTTTTAAAATTTCTATACATTACAGGTTCAACAATTAAACTACTGTACTCGTAATAATCAAGTAGTTATTTATTTAAAGTGAAAATAATTTTTATTTTCTACATTTTATTAAAAGGTTTACCTTTTCAAGAAAATTGTATAAATTTAATTTTGTAAAAATAAAACTTTGTTTACATAGTGTTTGATTTTTATGTTGTATAATTTAAAATGATAGTTTATTTAAACAATTATTCAATCATACTATTACAAAATTTTTATATTTTTAAGGTAAAAGATATATAATATAATCAAACGCCAATTTTTTTTTAAAAATTTTTAAAACTTCAATTATTTATTAATTTATAATCAATAAATCAATTATAATTTTTTCTTTAACTTTTTAATTTATTAGATTAAAAAATTTTATTTTTAGAAAACGTATAAAAATTTAGATCAAAGAGTGCAGTTGGAATGTGATGGACAACGAATACCTTTACCTTCTTTACAAGGGATTGTTATATTAAATATACCTAGTTTTATGGGTGGAACAAATTTTTGGGGTGGAACTAAAGAAGATCGCATATTCTTAGCTCCAAGTTTTGATGACCGAATATTAGAAGTAGTTGCTGTATTTGGAACAATTCAAATGGCCGCTTCACGTCTTATTAATTTACAACATCATCGAATAGCTCAATGCACTACAATTCAAATAAATATTTTGGGTACATCAAATAATTTTAAAATAATCATTTATTTTATTAAATATTCATTATAATTTAGGTGATGAAGGCGTTCCAGTTCAGGTAGATGGAGAAGCATGGATACAACCTCCTGGTATGATTCGAATCATTCACAAAAACAGAATGAAAATGTTATGTCGTAACAAAACTTTAGAACTATCTTTAAAGTCTTGGGAAGAAAAACAAAAACAAATAAAATGTCAAAATAAAAGAGCTCAAAGTCAGTCTTTATGCAAATATACACCACTCAGTGAAGAAGAATGGAAAATATTGCAGGATTTCTTAGATGCTGCCATGAACCTCATAGGGTAAATAAGCTTCTCAATTTAACAAGAAATCTTTTAACATAATTCTACTCTTATTTGTAGATTTATCAAAGAAATATTACTAAGACAAGTATGGTTAGAAGGAGAAAATTTAAAGAAGTTAATTGAAACAATTCATGAAAATATAAAAAAAATTAGTGTTTTTGAAAATAAAACAAAAGAGGTATTAAATATGTTTAAATATATTTCCTAATAAAAGTATTACTTTTTATTTTATTGTTGTTTTAATAGAAAGAGATACGTTCTGTAGCTACTGATATTGTTCTGAGTACAAGGCGTTTACATGAAGAAACTCTCGGTGTTATAAGAACTTCTGAAAATGTAAGTTCATATAGTTTCTTTTTTTCATACACTGATATGATTATTTTGTTTTCTTATTAAGGTTTTTGGTGGAGAATTAGTGATAAAACTTACTTTGGCATTCAGCCAATTAGAAGAAGAATTTAAGAAATGTCTAATATCATCCAAAGACTCTGATAATTATTCAACCAGTGCTTATGTTTACTTCATGAGTAATTCTTATGAATCGGTAAATTTATACAAAACCATATCTACTATTGAAATACTTATACAATTATATATATATATATATATATATATTTGTCTGCAGGATAAACTAAGTCGTAAAGGTCAATTTTGGCAAAGAAAATGGAGCAAATCAAATAATGAAGTATTCAACTCTGACATAACAAAATGGAGTATAGTAGAAGTTGGTATATGGTTAAAATCAATACAAATTAGTGAATACACTGAATTGTTTATCAACAATGATATTCGCGGAAAAGAATTATTAAACTTGTCGAGACGTGATCTTAAAGAAATGGGTATTACTAAAGTAGGACATATTAAGCGTATACTTATGGCTGTGAAAGAATTAAATATGTTTAATGAAGATCACTAAACTAATTTAAATTTAATAAAAAAAATTTAAAGCCATAAACTTTAAACAAAAAATTATGAAAATCTACTAACAAATTAATCAATATAATTTCTTATATTCTATTTTATGCAAAATATTAATGGAATATATTTTTGGAATAAATAACAATATGTAGAATATTTTCAAATATGCAAAAAAAAATTTTATTGTTTAATTAAACGCTTCGCCATTCATTGAGATTTCTAAAAAATATGTAAGAAGAATGAAATTCCGTCCTCTAGTTATTCTCAATACAGTTCTATTATATCAAGTAATTAATTTTTTTAACTTTTTAACTCAATTTACATTTTTATTCTCAAATTATGAATACATGTAAAAATAAATTATTAAAATTTATGTTCAAGCTATCATAAAATTTTTAGTACTAAGTTAATAACTTTAAGTTATTGATTTATTTCTGATATTTATTTAAAATTTCTTATTTCAAAAAATCATGACTTTTTTACTGATAAAATACTTTTTCAACATTTAATTTAAAAAATGAGATGTTTAAGTATTTTACTACTTATCTTACAATAAATAATAATGCTAGAAATTTGAAACTTATACAATAATATTAATTTATATAAAATTTTATGTAAACATTTTATTTTCGAAAATGATAGGAAGGAGATCATCTATACACACACCAGTAGTCATCATATCACCACTAATTACATCTAACCATCTCTTTTTCAGTCTTCCTTATCCTTTTCTTTTCTTCTTTTAACATTCATTTCCATAACTGAAGAGTGAATGTGTCAAACGTTCTGTGTCCCAAAAACATATTTGTTCAGAAAACATAAAAAACAATGGTAACATGGGCATGTCTCACATAACGAACACCATCTATGAATGCAATTTTGTACAAGTAAAAAATTTAATTGACATTTGAAACACATACAAGATTGTGGCCTTTGGCACATAAAACATAAATAAGAAATAAAACAATTTTTCACTTTTTTGGCACATAGAACGTTTGACACATTCACTTTTCAACTATTCTTAAAGCTTCCAATTTCTCTTTCCTTATAATATGATCAATTCATCTAAGCCTATTTTTTTATAAGTATAAATAATATCTAAATTGATTATACTTGAATTCTAAATAAAACAAGTAATACAAATTACTCTTGTTCTTGATAATTACATTGATATTTCTTCCATTTTCTTTGGTTCTTGAAAGTAAAATCTTGCCTGTTGCTGTAATACGATTCTTTCTGCTTTATTAAATAAATATCACTGGACACATTTGTTGCAACAATACTTAAAATAAAGTAGTTTTAATGCAAATCTGATAACCACAGGGTATTTATTTGAATTTTCTTTTCACCATATGAGTGGATATTGGTCTTTTTCAAATTAATTTTAATATCACTGCAAGCTTTCAATTCGAAGAAAGTCAAGTTCTGTATTATTTGTTCCATTTCTTCTTCATCATCACTATCTGCCAATAATGAACTCATGTTTTTTGAAAATCATCTATATTTTCTCCATTACTTATTTAGTTGTTTGTTGAATTTGTATTTCTTGTTCCAATTCTTTCCATACTTGAATATAAATGTATCTTTTATCTTAGATCCAAGGCTGCTACATTTATGACTACACCTGCTATTTATTAAATCACTGTTTATAGTTTTTATAAATGTACTGTGTATTAGTTAGGTTTCTAGTAATTTAATAGACCTTTAAACCCACTCTCTGTTTTATACAAAGTAACTTAATTGTCTCCTCCAAGTATTTCTGTTACTTCTTTAAATGGATTTAAAACTTTAACAAAATCTTCCATTTTCTCTGATTTTTGCGACTAATTTGCATAAATATTATACGCCACTTATCAGTTTTTTAATTTAAAATCAATGTATTATTGACAGGATTAAAAAAATTTAATACAGTATGAATCATATATGGGTTGAATTCGATAGTAAAGTACATGGTTATTGAAATAAATGGTAGTTTTGTCTTTATTTTGATACATGACTGTAAATATGACTTCAAGATGATTGTATTACTACAATATTTAAATGGATAATGTAACGGGATGTTAAATAATTTTTAGGACAAATTTTAAAAAAATATAATGATTACTACAGTTAATTAAGTAAATTAATGTACACCTCTAAATGTAGGATAACAACTTTTTTCTTATTAAATATTTACATTAATATTAAGTAAAGTAATTAGTGCACATTATGCTGAATGAGGCAATTATATATTGGGACAAAGTATGCTAATCATATAATTTGCGCCTGCAAATTTTGCTCCAAGCACAGAAAATGAATTAGCTTTATATTTTTATCCATTATCACGAAAATAAAAAAATAAAAAAACTAATGTATTTAATATAAAAGTTTGCGAAGACTGCATTCTGACGACTGCTGATTAATTTTATCACAATGCTATTGGATAATGGTGTGTTTAGATTTGAGCCGCAAATTCGCGGAAACTCAAGATATTTCTGGCTTGCAAGTTACTGTTTTAGATGGCGTAATTTCTACAAGTATCAAGAAAAGTCTAGATATTATTAGTAAATATGATTTTTGCTGTTTATTCGATTTTCCAAATAATTATTATCTTTGATATCGCGATATAGGAGGATGGTTCACTATGTTTTGACAGACCTATAACTTTAGTTAAGATGTCTTGTAAAATCCTTAAGATTACTCAGTTTACATATAACTATTAATACCTAATTTGTATTTTAATTTCAATGTTCCTAAAACTTCTTTGATTATTGTATACTATAAATACTAAANCACAAGTATCAAGAAAAGTCTAGATATTATTAGTAAATATGATTTTTGCTGTTTATTCGATTTTCCTAATAATTATTATCTTTGATATCGCGATATAGGAGGATGGTTCACTATGTTTTGACAGATCTATAACTTTAGTTAAGATGTCTTGTAAAATCCCTTTAGATTACTCAGTTTGCATATAACTATTAATACCTAATTTGTATTTTAATTTCAATGTTCCTAAAACTTCTTTGATTATTGTATACTATAAATACTAAAGACTTATTTATTGTTAAACATATAAAACAAATGAAGTAGTTGTATCATCAATCTTAAATTTGAATGCAGGGGTGTTATTTAGGGGGAAATGATAGGATAGATCCCCCGGAAAAAAATAATTTACATGGTGAAGATACAATTTTTTTTCGTTTGTAGGTGGTAGTAAAAAAAAATTTGATGTATACTCCTCCCATAAGATTAAACCCTAATTACGCCACCATTTAAATGCCATATTGTAATACTTTGATTATACAAAATTCAAAGTTATCTATTCTAATATTTTTTTTTATTAATTAAAACAAAATTTTTTGCTATGCCAAAGTCGTCAATTTCATTGTTATTAAAAATTTTTCATTTATTGCAACTAAGCTGTGCCAAATACTACATTTTTACCTCTTATTTTACTATTTAATTATACATAAGGATATATATTTCAATTACTATAAAATATAATTTTATTACAATGTTAACTTTTTTTATTATAATTCAAATAATTGTTTGACATTTCACCTTATTTAGTTGAAACTAGATTTAAAAAAATCTTTTAATGCCTTCTCTTCTAAAAGTATATTCTAATAGACGAATTTTATAAAATTATACCTAATAATATACACTATTAATTACATTAATATTAATTTAGTATTTTAGTAATAAATGTATAAAACTTGTTGAAAATCTGAACATAATATTTTGTAGTTTTTATGACTTTGATTAATATAAGACTAATTAGTTTTAATAAAAATATTCTGGTTTGTATTCTTGATGTATGGTTTTACTCCATACAGCATTTTATCACAGGGTAATTTTATAGCATGACTACTTTGACTTTTGTTTTTTTTTTTGACATTTTTAATTCCTAATATTATAAAATTTTACTATTTAAAATCAAACTAAAATAGTTTGATATTAGAAATTGTATAATTTTTATTTTTAGCAATAAATTAGTAAGCAATCGTTTTGTAAGTTCCTAAATATATATATATATATATTTCATTTTATTTTGTTTGTATAATTAAAATGAATATTTGCATAAATCTGATTGATTATTATTTGTAATAAAATTGTAATTTAATATTACAACTAATAAAAACATGTTTACTCTTTACTTTTTCAGTTTTTGAATTAGTCTGATATGTCTATCAATATTTTTTTTTTAACATAAAATTAACTAAAATAAAGCATTTTAATTAATTTTATATTTTTTAATTATTTAAAATTTTCTTAAAAGAACAAAATGCACGATAGTTATATAATATATATGACCAAAAAACTAGATTTTTATACCTTTGTGTATAGAGCGCGCCATTTCTATAAGGTTCGATAAGATTCGGTCGACTAATATAGAAATCGCTCTTTCTAAAATCTTCTCGATGCCTTACATTCTCTTAAATCTAGAATATTTCATTTAGATTATATATCCGCCACAAATACAATAAAGTAATGCAAAAATAATATTTGCACATAGAATTATATTTTTAAGCCTTTTTTGAAAATTTGAATAACAAGATTATCAACAATTTTTTTTATAAAGATTGTTGTTTTAAAACATGTTTTTAACTATGTTTTTAAAACAATATTAAGATACAACACTATATCTTGACAATTACTTTTTATATATTTTTTAAATATCTTTGAAAATAACAACACATTTTTGGAAGTCGAACCCGAGACGGTATGGTATACCATCATAAATTATACACAGTTTATTGATTAAAATAAAAAGTTAAATAAATGTAACGAAAATACTAAAAATTATTATATACTAAAAAAAGTTAATGAATTACAAAATTTGTTAAATGAGTACATATTATGCACACATTTACACTTAGCTACAAGTAAATTCGATATTAATTTTGAAAAAAGCTATATTGTATTGTTTTACCAGTCTTTTCAGTCGACATAGGTATTACTCAACAGTGATAGTTAGTGATGAGCATTTTCGAATATTTTAAACTATCGAATAAGTTTTTAAAACTATTCGAATATATTGTGTAACTATCGAATATTTTTACTATTCGAATATTTTTTGAATGACTATCGAATAGTTCGATAGTTTCTATTCGATATTTCCCATCACTAGTGATAGTGTTTAATTTGATAGAATGTCAAAAATTGTNTAGTGTTTAATTTGATAGAATGTCAAAAATTGTCAAGGTTGTAAAAATAATGACAATAGGGCAATAAAAGTTTGAGTTTTTTAATACGATTATAAAGATTTGTATTTTTATACTAATATATTTTTATAGTATGATGACCCATACTATAAAACCATACTGTATGGTTACGCATAAGGCGCAGAGCAGCTGGGCTTCCTTAAATTCGAGCACTGGTAAACTCAATAATTATGTTGTAACATCAATGCCAAAACTACGGGGATTCTATAGCGCATTAAAGAAACTTAGTTTAGAGACGTATTTAAACATAGGGACAGATAACTCGGGTGTTGAAATTTTTGGGACCTGTCTGACACGTTAGCGGTGTATTTAGAAATTTATAATTGGCGAGAACTAATAAAATGTTCAACTCACAAGCTACCATAAATGTTTTTTACTAATTTTTAGCTGGTTACAAGCAAAAAAGAAGTCAACAAATATTTTTATATACGCATAGCATGGTCAATACCCCTCTAATTATGCCGTTGAGCAAGCTTGACAAATTAATTGTGTAGCGTAAAATAAGATAAGAAAATCCCATTGAGACTGAAGGGAAAAATTTTATAAGACTGTAATGAGACTAGCTATGATGTATGGGTCACAGGTTAGGAAGTTGAAAAGAAAGTAGTGCAGAGAATGAGTGAAGCAAAAATTAAAGTGTTTAAATGGATGAGTAGAGTAACGAAAGAAGATAGAATAAGGAATGAATATGCAAAAGGAAATATAGGAGTAGCGTCGATCGTGGATAAAATGAGAGAAAATTGGTTAAGGTTCATCAGTTTTGCTTGCTTACCGCAGTATAGGAAAAGAGACAAACGATTAACAAATCAAACATCTATTGCATTTTAATTAGGTTTTCAACCAACCGGCAATTATTTTTATACCATTACATCTCAGTACAGATGAGAACCTTACTTTAATTTGAGTGCGCACTCTGGTTTGAATGTATAATATTAATGAATATGTTAAAAAATTATAAAATATTTCCAGTTAATCACTGGAAATTTGTAAAAATACTAGAAGAGTTTTTTACAAGTTTTTCAGTTTTCTTATAAGTTACTTTAGAACTATGATAACTTAGGTGGTAAGTTATTTCTCGCTTCTATTTACGCCATCTTTTACCTCGTATAGATATACGTCTTCAAAGTTTATTATCCTTGGGCATACGAGAAATATCTATGAAAAAATTCAGGGGGACTAAATTGATTTTTTCCTTTGCTCTATATTTTTTTGTATGAGAATACATATAAATTTTTAAAATAATCTAGGGGGCCTTGATATTTTTGTAGGGTGTAAGCTGTCCTAGGTCCACCTAAGTACACCTATTTCTCGGGTAATACTGGATTGCAGTGAAAAGCTACTACCGACTTTTTCTTTGTAGATAAATAAAAAATTATGTGGATCTTAATTTATGCAAAAATGTTGCCACTAAAAGAGCACATTGAATTTTAAATATGAAATTATACGTTTTTTCCTTAAGTTAAGTAATGTTTTCCCTGAAAACCGAATGCCTTGCATTAATAACATTTTGAATTAGCTTACCACCTGGTGTATGCGACACTGTAAATCAGTGTATTACTCATAGATCTCATATGAATAGTCACAGACACATTCGACTAACACGTGATGTCGTGTTTTGGACTGATACCCACACAGAATCGCTCACAGTTAATTGAATGGGTCGCGCAAAGGCAAATTAAAAACAACCCTAACTCTCCTCACATACGCGCTACCGGTAAGTTGCAATGTCGTGTGCTCACTTTGAAAAATAAGCAGGAGTGTAAAGTATAACTATTGTCCAAAATCCGGTAAACAAATAAAATCTGTGCTAATAAAAGAAACAAAAAAATAAAGGATCAAAAAGCATTTCATCTTGAAGCGAGAGCAGTACGTAACAACACCACAGCCGCCAACGATCACAACACTAACGGATGTCTTTCCGACCACGCCGCCTGCAACGTGACTTGCCACTTCCACGCGCAACGTGACTGAACGAAACCAAACGCTCAACCACACGAATGACGTGTGTAATGCATCCGAATTACAATCAAAGGCGACAGTAGTTGTGTGGACGACGCGTCTAGTTTCGAATCTTTTGACTTTTGCTTTCAGGTCTGCAGTTCAATTTTCCTTTTTTTCGTGAACAACATGTTTTGTGCATCACGTGGAATATATTTTCTAAAATGACGACGCGGCACAACACATTGGTATATAAGTCTTTTGTAAAGGTCCGATTGGACTCGTGGGTTTAATTTTTTCATTCGCTATAGAAAGGTAAGCATAAAAGCGTTTTTCTTTCTTTATGTCTAGTAATTATATTATGAATAATAGTGGCATTTTGATTATTTATTTGCCGGCGTTGTTGTGTCTAACTGTTATGCGTGTTAATTAACAGTCTTTTAATTATGAAAAAAAAAATTTATATATATACGAAGTTTTTATTTTTAAATAGTATTAACAAAAGCGTTCGTTTTAGCTATTTAACATTATTGAATAATAGATTATCGAAATTGTATAAAATTATTTTCCTGGATATTCTTAAAAAAATGTATTACATATGCCCATAATTTCCGGAAGTTCGTTAACGATGAAATAGTAATGCTAGTCTAGAATTTACATTTAAATACATTATACTGTATAGTTAGTTTCATTCACTTCTAAGTTTAAAGTGTTGAGGTGTCAAGAGGTTTGCCCGTAAATTCGTTTTGATTTTTCAATTTTTTTATTTATACAGAGTGATTTTATAACTATTTATTAACACAATGTCTTAAAAATGAAAAACCCCCTTCTAAAATTTTAACCAATTTTGGTTTTTAATTAAATATCTATTTTAAACTATATAGGTATTTTAACCGACTGAAAAACTAGAAAATAATCTATCTAAAGAAAATGACATGTCGATTGCAACTTAAGGAATATTTTTTGAAAGATATTAGCATTTCTATAACAAAGTGGGAGGCGTAGTGTAATTTATTAATTGATAAAAATAAACAGTTCCATGGTTTACTTCCAGCCATTATATTAATAAGTTAATGATTTCCAAAATACGTATTTAAAAGTTATTATCTACCAGTCATTCTATTAGATACATCATTTTCCATTTGTAAATTCGATAAAAATATATTTTTTCATTTAAAAAACTATATTTGATAAAATTTAAGGGGAAATAGGAACACACATTTTTTTTTAAATTATGTAACTTCCGAAAAGAAAAATAATATCATATTTTATATTATTAAAGATATCACGTGAGTCATAATTAAGTAAAGTTAAGAAAAAATGTTTTATTATCTACGTTTTATAATTCTGTATTAACCGATTTTCCTATTTAAAAATTCTGTATGTATCTCTAATATAGAATTACTGATAAGAACTTCTCCAAATTAAGTAAACAATGTTTAGAAAAGATAGTGATTTATGAAAATAAATTACTAATTATTATTTTTATCCAAATACAAATATAAAGTTTTCTTGTCTGATGCTTAAAATCCTAATACACTATTTTCGTAAGCCCCTCAAAATATGAGCCACTTGGTTATAATCTATATTTATTAATTTACTACGATTATTTAAAAACAAATGATCGATTATTTTTTTTTCAGTATTCAATATTCAAGAGCGAAATAAGTACTAAGCAATTTATGTCCTCTTAGTAAATTATTTCTTCATTATTTTTTAGCGGATAGAAATCATAACTTAAAATAAAGACTCTAATAATAAAATAATACAATTTTAAATATCATTTAATTTTAGGAATATAAAGAAAAAAAAATTATAACAGACATGTACAAATATTAGATAACATTTACAGCAATAGAGAAAGGTAAAATTTATTTTATTGTAAACATTTTCAAAAATTAATTATAGAATTCTAAAAATACATTTTTTTCAATTGGAAATTTGCAGTATCAGTTTTTTTTATTACTTTTTATTTGTTAGTATATAATTAAGAAATAATACAGCCCCCCACAAATATTTTAGATACGTTATTTACTAAACGAAATACAAATAAAAATCGATGATTTAACTTTAATTATTATATAATCCTCCAAATAAAAAAACATTTTTTTTTTCAGAAAATCAGTATTATTTTTATTTAATAGAATCTTATTCAACTTTATTATTTATAGCTTCTTTTGTTGTACGTAATAGAACCGATGTAATAATAACTATTGATTACTTGTAAACATTACAGACAATTGCCGGGGGGTGATAACATTTAAATTTATATAAAATGTAAAATAATGTCATCTAAAAATGTTATTAAGTAATTAAAAATTAAAATATTGATAAATTAATAGAAAAATGTTCACTTTTATACTTTTTAATGAAGTCCATTTGTTATTTAAAACAACTTAAATAACTTATAGAATGTATTCTTAATCGAGTGTTAACGTAAATTTTTTTCATTTTGCATGTAGGAAATCTTCGGATTCAAACCTCTTTCTTTTATTGCTTTTCAACCAATTATTTTGTACCATCAAACATTGCGCGTATGGTCAGAGGAGGTAGTGGGCGTTTGGCCCACTTTAAAATTAGGCCCCCTCCCAGAAATTTAACAAAAATTATATGTACTTTTTTAAAAAGTTATTTTTTGAAGGGGAAAAATAATTTTAGCCTCTCAACAAATTGAACGAACTCATGCCTGCAAAGAAAGAACGAAAAAATGTAAGGGGTCGAATTTTTTAGTAACTTGGTGGTAGTATCATAATACTTCTACCTAGTTGAATATGTCTAAGTTATAATTATTATAAAGCATCCCTGGACCGATATTTTTCTTCTTGTAAGTTATTTCATATATTGTATATCACAAAAAATTCAATAACTTTTTAGTATTTACAAATATAAATAAAATAAATACAAATATTTTGTTATTTAAAAAGTAGCATTATTGAACAATTTAAAAAATGTCAGTTAATAACTTAATCTATGAACGTCTTCAATTATACCATCGTCCATGTTCTTATTCTTATAATTGTTAACCACTAAATTTCTTTTAAAATAATAATTATTATCAGTGCTCGAATAAGCCAAAAATAAGTAGGGGAGCTCAACTTAACAATTTGAAAACTGCGTCCCTAGTATTTTGAAGACTTTTTTTTTTTTTTTTTACTCATTACTTTATTTAGTATTTATTAATAAATCATATTTCATTATCATACTAATATTTAAAAAAAAAAAAAAAAGAGGTGGTATTTTCCACCGTCCTCCCGTCACAATAAAAAAAAGTAGTTGGGGTGCGCAAAAAAATTTAAAAAAAAGTAGAAGAGCTACGTCCCCCTGCGCACCCCCCCAATTCGAGCACTGATTATTATTAAAATTATAATATTTTATTGTTAAATATTTTTAAGGTTCATCCCTTATCTCTCATGAGGAAACCAACTTTATTTTTCAAGTATTAATAAGTATATTTTAATAGATAAAATAATAGAAAATAATCCAATTAAGAAAATAACTGGTCGAAAACAACTTTTGAACCAGTATTTTGTAAGTTAGTAACATTTCTAAATATATACAGGAGGCGAGGAGTGGGTATTTTATTAAAATAGTCGCACATATTTTTATTGCTATGTTAATAGCAGAAATTTTACAACAATTTGTAAAAAGTCAGCTGAACAGGGGAAAAAAGTCATTTGGTAGTTTGTTGATAGGTTTGATCGCCTCATTAAATATTGGTTAGTATAGGATTGTTTTTCGTATATTCGTTAAAAACAGTTTAGTTGAAATAAAAATATTTAGTAATGGGAATATTTTTAAATACCATTGTAAGATGTTCCACGAAAACAATTTTAATGTTATATTGTACATTAAGTGTAATAATCGAATTATACATTAAAATATGTAGTAAATTGCGTTTATACTTAAATTTTTATGAATGAGGCGAAAAATATTATTAATTTTTTTTTTTAATAAAAATGTATTTTGCAGTGCAATGCGTGGAACTTGTAAATGTTTTATTTTGATGTGCGCGTTCAGAGGTCCTCCATAAAACAGTATTGAAAAGAAATGGAGTTTCTAAATCTAAAACGTTGATATATATGTGTTCCTGTTGCTATGAATTTCGAACAGCCCAGTAAACACACGGTACATTGGTTTCGTAAAGGACTGAGATTGCACGACAATCCAAGTTTGCGGGATGGACTTGTTGGATCAAAAACTTTCAGATGCATTTTCATACTTGATCCATGGTTTGCCGGCGCATCAAATGTTGGAATTAACAAGTGGAGGTATTATACATGTGTATGATAATTATGTCAATGGTCATTAATCTGACTGATTATTCATTGAAGTTTTAATTATAATAAACTGAAATTATTTCGCTAATTGATCCGTTATATATTACAGATTCCTTTTACAGTGTTTAGAAGACCTTGATAATAGTTTGAAAGAACTAAATTCAAGGTTATTCGTCATTAGAGGACAACCAGCTGAAGCGCTACCTAAACTTTTTAAAGTAAGTTATATTAATTATATTGTGCTGCTTAAAAATTACATAATTGTCTATTACATCGTTTAAAGGTTCATTGGTTTACGATATATATAGAAAAAAGTATTTGTGTATTGATTTTTAATCAATTTATTTTATTATCAAATAAATGCCTAATTGGTTTCATATTCCTGAATCTACTGTGAAGTTTTTTTTTTATATTTATTTGATCCTATTAAAAAATACTAGGCTTCGATCTAAAAATAAAAGTTTAGAATGATTTCACATTATATTTTTACTGATTAATAAAATTCACCAACTTACGTAATAAAATAATTTTAATTTTAATAATTTTTAATTGAAACTTTTGAATTTCAAGGTGTTTACGTTTTCAGAATAGTTTTTTATTTAAATGTATATACGCGAAAAAATGTATATAATTACCGTAAAATAGTAAGCCGATTTAGCCTTCAAGTATAAATTTGGTTAACTTTAACTTAGATTAAATTATATGAAGCTAAATTAATAAATTTGAAATTGACCGAATTTTTACTCGTTGGCCGATTTAGAATTATTTTACCAATAATGTAAATTAGTTTTTTATTTAAGAATATTCTAGAAAAACATTATTATGGTAATTTTACATCACTATTTTTATTGAGTATTTTTCCATTATGTGCAATTCTATAAAATTCGAATTATCTGTAAAGGGTTGTATAAGCTGGTGTTAAGTATTTTGCATCAGTGACATTTGAATTTTAAGACACCGTAACACTAATTAAAAATTCAACACGCACATATAAGTTATGTCTGTACTTTAAAAATATTAAGGTTTTAATTTTTAATGTTTAATTTTAAAAGATGTGGGGTACGACGAATTTTACTTTTGAAGAAGATCCTGAGCCTTATGGACGAGTGAGAGATGAAAATATTTCCGCCATGTGTCGTGAAATGGGTATATCAGTGATCACCAGGGTATCACATACTCTTTACAAATTAGACAAGTAATTTATTTTATGAATTTTTAACTGCAAATGTATAATTTATTATCTTATTTAAATATTATAAATAAATATGATTTATGTTTTACAGAATAATAAATATGAATGGAGGAAAAGCACCATTAACTTACCACTTATTTCAAAAGCTCTTGGAGTATATAGATCCACCAGATGATGCTGTTCCAAGAGTCGACAAAGATTTTGTTGGTGATTGTATTACACCAATAGAATTTGACCATGATGACAAATTTGGGGTTCCTACACTTGAAGAACTTGGTTAATTTTTAATTTAATATTTTTTTAAATATTGATTATATAATAATAGTTCAATCTATTTTGAAAATTTATGAGATTACTATTGGCTGATAAATTATAGACATTTTTTAATAATAAGAAAAATTATTAATCAATCAATAAAAATAATCTTTCATTTAATTTGGAATACAATTATTAAAATGTATCATATAAATTAGCTTTTTTGAGGAGGTCTTAAACTTGCTGTTTATATTCAGGGACCATTAGTATTAATCTCTGAGAATATTCCATTTTAAATGAATACAGTTATTTTAAAACTAATAATTAGTCCATCAAATTTCTTTTAAAATTTATTCTTGTTTTTGTATATTAAAGGATTTGAAGATGTTGATAACACTAAAGTCCAATATATATGGAAAGGCGGAGAGACAGAAGCTCTGATACGACTGCAACGTCATCTGGAGAGAAAAGCATACATAGCCTCTTATGGGAAACCAAAAATGACCCCACAATCATTATTGGCCAGCCGTACGGGGCTTACACCATACCTTAGATTTGGATGTTTGTCTACTAGATTGTTTTTTTCTGAATTAAACAATCTTTACCGAAAGGTAATTTTTATATTACTATTTAAAACTTTTAAGAAGATAATATTGTTTTAAAAATTATTTTTAAATGTAATTAAAAAATGGTTTGTTTTTTAGATTCGCAAAGCTCAGCCACCTTTATCATTACATGGGCAACTTCTATGGCGAGACTTTTTTTACTGTGCTTCTACCAACAATCCGAATTTTGATAAGATGATTGGTAATCCAATTTGTGTACAAATACCTTGGAATACTAACATCCAAGCCTTATCAAAATGGGCCAATGTATTTACTATTAGTATTTTCAATATTTTTCTTTTGTTGTTTAATGTAACGAATGTTTTAGGGGCAAACTGGTTATCCTTGGATTGATGCCATTATGATTCAATTAAGAAATGAAGGCTGGATACACTGTATTGCAAGACATGCAGTTGCATGTTTTCTCACTAGAGGTGATATGTGGTTGTCATGGGAAGAAGGCATGAAGGTGAGAAAAAGTCGTTATAATTTTAAAAATACATGTATACTTCATGTTTATCCTACATCGATTTGGCGTGAAATATAAATTATTAAGTGTGTCAAATAATACAAGATCAGGTGTCTTAGGTGTTTGAAGAATTGCTTTTGGACGCAGATTGGTCTGTGAATGCAGGCTCTTGGATGTGGTATTCGTGTTCATCATTCTTTCAAGAATTTATACATTGTTACTGTCCTGTTAGATTCGGACGTAAAGCTGATCCAAATGGTGATTACATAAGGTGATTACAATGGTTTATGAAATTTATATAATTTTACATTTGAAAAAAATACCATAGTGAGCGAGCACTACTAGTAGTAGATGAAATTTCAGTATTGGTTATGGGAGTGTTGTTGGGATGGAAAAACTTTTTTAGACCATTAATGCCTAAAATATTTATGTTACATATTATTAAAACTTTTATAAAAATACTTGACAGTTTAATCTATTACAGATAATTCGCTTACACTTAATTTTTTCTGAATTTTTAGAAATATTTGTCTCATAATACTCCTCAATCCCAAGTTTTATAACTTAAATATTAATAGAAACTAACCATTAAATTTTATCAATTTAAATTTAGCTACAGCTTAATATGATACATTAAAAAATAAATAAAATATAAAGAGGTAGTACCTAAAATACTTAATTATTAAATTTGATAATATCTTTATGGAATATTGTATTATTAATTGTATCAATATTCATTCTACAACCCTCTGAAATTAACTTCAAATTTTAATAAAGACATGGAATATTTATTTTAATAATAAAATTGATAATTTTTTTTGTAAATTTAATAATATTTTAATAGCGTGAACAAAACTAAACTTTAAATTTTTTTTTTATTTTAGAAAATATATTCCTGTCTTAAAAAATATACCAAATAAGTATATACATGAACCATGGTTGGCACCCGAATCTGTGCAAAAATCAGCGAAATGTGTCATTGGAATTGATTATCCACAACCTATAGTAAATCATGTAGTAGCTTCAAAAATCAATCTTGAACGTATGAAATTAGCTTATCAACAACTTGCTAACTGTCAACCACGATTGGAAAATGGAAAATTAATTTTAATTTCTGATCCTACAATTTATTGCGAAAAAGGATAACAGTGAAGTTTAACAACATATCTTATTTATTATTAAAACATATTAAACAATATCTACATGCAATTTTCTAGTGTATGTCTGCAAAGTTCAAAACAATCACTTGAAATATGTTTATATTAGTAGAGTAATTTATTACTTGTAGCAATATTTATTGAATTTTTAGAACTCCTTGTATATTTTCATACAATAATTACTTAACACAATTTTTTTGTCTATTCTTTATTTGTTTTTTTAATTTATAATTAAATTAAATAATTATAATAACATTTTTTTTTAGAGGAATTAAATTATAGAAATTATGATCACTTATGGTCTGATGTTTTAAGATGATAAATTTTATTTTTGAACATATAATATATTATTGTATAATAAAAATTTAAAGAAGAAAACAATTTTACAAACATTTTTAAAATATAAAATTAATATGACATATAATATAGTTTCAATAAAATTATAAATTTATACTTATTTTAAAATTTTCCATAGAACATTTTTTAGTATGAACTTTACTTTAGTCATAAAAATGTCTGATTTTTGAAAAATTCTAAAGAGTTCATTAAGTAATAATTTTTTTAAATTT